GCCACAACTTCCTCTCCCAGTGGAACAGTGCCTTCAGAAGTTGTGGCTGCTCCATCACTGGAGGCTTTAAGAAGAGACTGGCATTCCACCTGTCTGGCATGGTATAGGATCTCTTGCTTGAACAGGGAGTTGGACTAGAAGACTAAGATCCCTTTCACCTGTGATTATTCTATTCTATTCTCCCTATATTCCTATCCGAATCCTTTGCTGTTTTACAGCAAGGTTCATTCTGCTTTGTTTTTTCAATCAAGATCACCATATTCAAACTCCAGATATTTGTTGGACAGCCTGGTCAGTTATACAAAGTCAGTTAAATCAGTCCCAAAATAGAAGACCCTTTCCCACTATCAAATACAGGCTACATCCAGGGGTGGGTTTCTACCAGTTCTGTCCACCTCTGTAGAACTGGTAGCTCTGAAGAGCAGCAGACATACAGTAGGACCGGTTCTATGTCTGCTGATATTTTTGCCCACCCGCCCACCAGGGCTCTTAACCTGACCTTTATTTCCTGCGTTTTCAACTTCAGCTGCCGTGCAAGGCACAGCTGCAGTTAAAAAAGCAGGAAAAAAGTACTTTTTCAAAGGCTGCTTCTCTGCACTCAGTGCTGCTCAGCTGTCCAAGCACCAGGCTGATGACGATTTATGCCGCACGCAAATCACCGAATCCCGGTAGTTAACCCTGTCAGATCCCACCCCTGGCTACATCTACTTTACATGAACAAAAGAGGGCTCACAAACAAGTTAGGTGTCAAATTCTTTACTCATTTCTTAATCATTATTCCTTAAACTTTAAAAACATTAAATGTTAAACAAAGTTACTTATCCTTCATACAGATAAAGTCATGGTAAAATAAGGATGTGTATTAAAAATACATGCATTAAGCAATTTCTTCTCTAGTACACTATATGCTATACCAAGTGCACATTTTTTCCATCTTCCTACAGATCACTGCTTGATGTGGAGCAAAAGAAACACCCATGTGATGTTTAGGAAACACTTTTTCACTCAAGAGACCCATTTAATTCCCTGTAACAAATATAGCATTTGTGTTTCTTATAAAAATATCTAACTATTTCTTAATCTATTTGAAGTTAATCTATTTTCCTCAGTTTCTTTTACCTCCTAAAGGTTAGTACTAACCTAATTAAATGGAAACTGCTAAACAGGATTAGACTTCAGTCTCAATGGACATATAAGCCTTTGCAAAAATTTCTTCATGATTGCAACTAGGAAGTTGCAAGGGATTCTGGGAGTTGGAGGCTATACATCTTACAGATGCTAAAGTCAAGAAACACTGTTCTAAAGCCTTACTTAAGTCAAGGGTCTTCAAACTTGACAGGCTTGTGACTTGTGGACTTCAACTCCCTGAATTCCTGAGCTAACATGATTGGAGGAGGAATTGAAGTCCACAAGTCTTAAAGCGGTCAAGTTTGAATACCCTTGCCTTAAGTGGTCCGTATAATTTGAGGGAGAAATGATCCAAAATATTTGACAGGGGAGAAGGAGGGTGCAATACCAGCTAGCTACTTTGTTCTTAGCTTTGATATACTTATAAATATACAAACTTTTTCTTTGCCTTAAAAAAATGGATTGCGGGCACCTACGTGTTTTCTGCTACTCTGATGATACAGATAATATTTTAGTTACTTATGCGGTGTCACAGCCTGGAGTGAATGTAAATATAAGCACAATTGTTTTTCCCAAAGTGCCTTAGTTTTCTTTTTTTTCCCACTCCGCTTTGTACTCCACCAGTTGGTATGTCAGACAGCTGATGGCTAACCAGTCAGGCTTCTAATTAAAAAGTAACAGTGGTTTCACACTTTCAGCTCAATTCTCGCATCAGAAGCATCTGCTAGATGAATAAATAACACTCTTAAAAAGGTATTGGTCCCAGTTTCATCGTTTGAAAATTGTGCTATGAATTTGAGAATTTGTAGCAACTACAGACTTTACTGATAGCTGATTAATACCCAACAAAACTGCTGGATTACACTAAAAGTCTCTAAGATGGCATCTGTTTCCCAAAGGAGCCAATCAAACCAATTTCTCTAGAAAATCTGTAAGCAGGATAGAAAATCAGCATCTTGTTTCTACACTTAACTCATAGTGTATCCCTTCCTTTGCCTCAGTCTCAAAATTATACGTTGTAAGCTTTCCCTCCACTTGACGCTCTTAATTTTCAGGAAATGTTGGCTCCTAATTAAGAAAATAGAAATTTCCTGCTTCTGCCAAATCGAGACTGGGAAAAGTTGACACATGGCCATTATTTATGGCCTAGAGTCATTTATGGCTTTCACTTCTGTGAGTTTGCCAAATCCTTTCTTAAAGCCACATGGCCTGGTTATTTATAGAATAGGGTTCTCTATTATATCAGAGTTTCAACTCCAAGAATTACTATTTAGCGGGGTATATGAGGAGCCATGATGGTGCAGTGGTTAGAATGCAGTATTGCAGGCTAACTGCTCACTGATAGGAATTTGATCCTGATCAGTTCAAAGTTGACTCAGCCTTCCATCCTTCCAACGTTGGTAGAATGACCCAGTTTGATGGGGGCAGTTGGCTGACATTGTAAGCCACTCAGATAGTGCTGTACAGCACTATGAAGCAGTATATAAGTCTAAGTGCTATTGCTATTCTTTTTTTGTTGTTGTTAATTTTATTTGAGTTTTCACAAAGAGAAAAAAACACAAATAAAACATCTTTTTTGAAAGTAGCGTAATCCCGGGTTACATTTCTTCGTACAGACACAAATTC